TAATTTTCTAAAAAAAGTGGGTAGAGAAAAGGTGATTTACTATTAAACCTCAAATGTACCATCTACTAAGATTGTTCAGGGTCCTGGACTAGGTGTCTTGCACCACAATCCCCGAAATTCTTGGTAATACAAATGTTCACTTTGGTTTTGTTGCAGCATGCCCAAATAATAAATACCAAAACAATCCTCTCTCTCCTTGAGAAATTGTGTAAAAAAAAAAAAGGAATAAAAAGTTGAATTCACTCAATGAAATTTAAGATGGACATGGGACATACAAGAAAAAAGGTTATCTGTGAAACGTGAACTCGACACACAACGTTTTTTGAATCCCTTCCTTTCTATATAGTTAATAAAATTCAACGGAGCATGCTAACCTAACATGGAAATTATCAGCAGATTGTTGTAAATATTTACAAATTTGTATATAGGGTACACTCATTTTTGATTGGTAGAGGTGTGACTATCTTATCCTTAAACAGGTGGATCGCGAGATAATCGTGTAACTTCTATAGATTTTAAATTTTTCAAAATGGAGTTCACACCTGTTACTGCCAACAACAACAATATTAATAACGAAAGCAAAAATACTTTTCAATTTCTTGCTTCTAGTCCTCCAAAGCAAACTAAAACACATCCACCACCCTCGACTGTTATTCATAAAGCTAATTATAAACATAACCCTTTAAAGTCACCAGTAGAATTACGACAAAAACGTATAGAACTTGACGTACAACTTCGTAGGAAACATCGTGAACAACTTATCACTGCAAAAAGATTTAAACATCATTTGGATGATTATAAAGATGAAGAAGATGGTATTTTTCATAATTATAATTTATAATTGCTCTATTGTTAGTATTATTATTATTTATTTAAAACCTTTGCTTCTTATTGATCTTTAAAGAACCAGAATTTGATTTGAGTCCAAAAGATATTGAAAAATTGAAATCAGGTTTAAATGTTGGTAAAAAGAAAGATAATAAATAGAAAGAAGGAAAGCAATTAATTTTAAATTAATTTAAATCTGGATCTGTAAAATTTAGGGAATAAGTCGTAATATTCGTCTCTCTAACCTTAAGCAATTAAGCAAATATCTTGTGGATCCTTCAGAAAATTTAAAAGGTTTTGTTATTAAAGGAAAATGTATTGAAATGTTGACAGTATGTAGTGATAGTCTTATTGTGAATAATATTATGATGTTAAAAATAATGACGATAATGATGATGGTAATTGAATTGCAAATTTTTTTAAAACATATGTAATTTATAGAGATTTTTATCAGGAATAGATCCAGAAGAACAATTACAAGCTACTTGGTGCGTCACAAGTACATATATAGATTTCTTTATTTTTTTAAATAAGTAAAAAGTAAATTTATTTATTGCAACTATTTGTAATTAAATGATTTGTATATTTCCCACTCCCTCCCCATCCAAAAATAAAGATATTGCTGCTGGAAATAAAGAATTTGTTCAAAAAGCATTAACAACAGTTCCGTATTTGATTTCTTTTCTTGATGGTGAAAATATAGTAAGTATAGAATATATTAATATATAAATATATATATTAATATTGGTATTAAAATATTTTTATTTATATTAATAAAATCAATGTAGTCTCTTAAAGATCAGGCAACATGGGCAATTGGTAATATTGCCATTGAAAATCCTGAATGTAGAAATTTATTACGTGCAAATGGAGTTTTGGTTCCTTTAATCAATCTACTTGATTCCAATGTAAAGAATTATAATTTAGTTTATAATTAAAGAGTATTACATATTTATTTATATATATATTTATTTATTTATTTATTTATTTAGGACACACACCTTGTTCAAACAGCATGTTTTGCACTTTCCAATCTTGCACGAGGCCCTGATCCTAAATTGGATGAATTTTTTTCAGCAGGAATATCAAAATTACTTTTACAGCATCTTGCAACTGAAGAGATGAGCGAAGTACTTTCAGAGGTTGCTTGGGTGTTGACATATTTAACTTGTGATAGTTATAAATACACGGAACAATTGTTGAAAGAAGGATTGGCACCACTTTTGGTTATTATATTTAAATATCTATTATTATTTTTATTTTTATTTTAATTTTAATTTTAAATGTTAAATTTTTATTTTCTTTCACCTTCTGCCACCAATCCACACATTTATATATAAAAAAAAAGGTTAAACATTTGAGACCTTTATTGAATCAAGGACCACTGGCATTGCCATTGATAAGAACATTTGGTAATATAGCTAGTGGTCCAGATGAACATGCAGTCAATTTAATTCAACAAACCGATTTTTTACCAATGCTGTTGGAATATATTCAAAGTAATTGCAGGTAATTTATTATAGCAATAATATTACACTTTATGTATCAATTCAGTTAAAAAGATTACTTGGCAACGATCATATTATTATAATTAACTAGATCGATAAAAAAAGAAAGTTTATGGGTTCTTTCAAATATCACAGCAGTGTAAGTTATACATTACTTATCTTATAAATATTATTTTATATTATTTATTTGATTATTTTATTTGATTGGCTTACAAAAATTTTTTTAAAGTAATCAACCTGAAATTATGGTTAAAATAGTAAACTCTGGGTTTATTCCAATTTTGTCAAATATTGCAAAGAATGGAAATTTTGATATTCGTAAAGAGGTGAAACAAATGATAATAATTAAAAATAATAATAAATAATAATTATTAATTCTTCTTGTTTTTAGGCAGCTTATTGTTTATTGAATATAGCATCACACGGAGAAAATTTTTTGAATTTAATGTCACATAAAGAATTGTTACCAGGTAAATAAATCGATTAACTATTAGCTAATTAATTGAATTGATCAAGTAGTTGTTTATTTTTTTTATATATGTATGTATACATATACCTAGGGTTTTTGGAATTTTTATCATCTCAAGATGTTGATTTAATTTTTTTAGGATTACAATATGTTGGATTACTTTTGGCCAAAGTCTTAGATGTATTTCAAAAAAAATCTTATTTTTCAATTAAAATCAAATCATTATCATATACAATTATTTAATAATATTAAAGTATTTTTTATCTCTTAGGGAAAAAAACTTATTAATCAAATTCACGGAATAGATGCATTAGAAAGTGTTACTATGTCAGAGGATCAAAATTTACGTAAATTAGCTAGTCAATTAATGGATCAATATTTTGACGATGATTTACTTTCCAATGACAATGACAATGAAGTACAAATGAAGGAGTGAATGGATGGAATGAAGCAAGCAATTGAAAGATAGTATGCGTAAATTTAAACCATTTCATATTATATTGATGCGTGCGTGCGTGTGTGTATATTACATTTCAAATAATTTTATAAAATAAATTTTTTTAAATTCTATTTCTATTAATTAAATTATAATTGTTAGATTAGTGGTAGTAACAGTAATATTTATTACTATTATTAGTAGTGATGTATTCTATTTGCCTTATTCTGGAACATAAGAAAATAAAAATGAAACCGATTCACCATTATGTGTACGTCGAATGGCTTTTTTTTAAAAAAAGAATGCGTGTTAATAATTATTATATTTAAAATCAAACCAACCTATAATTAAATTAAATCAAACAAAAAAAAATCACCTTCAGATAAAGTAGAAGAAATATTGATTGTGTCAATTTTTGAACAAATAGCTTTCTTGTCATCATGAGGTATAGTGTTTGTTACAACCACTCTTTCTAAACAACTTTCATTGATAACATCAATTGCTTTACCAGACAAAATACCATGTGCAACAATTGCATAGACTTTTATTGCGCCATTTTCTTTTAATGTTTTAGCAGCTAAAACCAACGTGCCACAAGTATCAGCCATATCATCAACTAAAATTGCTATTTTACCTTTAACATCACCAACTAATACCATTCTTGAAACTTCATTAGCTTTTTTTCTTTCTTTATGAATTAAAGCAAAATCCAAATTTAAACGATCTGCGATTGAAGTTGCTCTATTCCAAAGAAAAAAGTTTGAATGTAAGTAAATAATATGTATATTTTTTAAAAAATGTTTGTATATATTACCTTTTTGCGCCACCGGCATCAGGTGAAACAATAATAGCATTTTTGTAATTAGGAATATTAGTACTAATATATTTAAGCATGGAGGGCTCACAATATAGATTATCTACAGGAATATCGAAGAAGCCTTGAATCTGACTTGCATGTAAATCCATTGTGATTACATGATTAGCACCAGCAACTGTTAACATATTAGCAACTAATTTTGCAGAGATAGGTGCTCTTGATTTGTCTTTTTTGTCTTGTCTAGCGTAAGGAAAGCAAGGAATCACTGCCGTTACTCTTCTTGCGGATGCCGCCTTACAAGCATTGATCATGATCAAAAGTTCCATTAAGTTATCATTGATTTCTCCACATCCAGATTGAATAATGAAAACATCTTCATCACGAACTGATTCGCCAATGATAACTGAGGTTTCTTGATTAGAATATTTTACCACTATTACTTTTGAAAGATCTACACCTATTCGACTATTATTATTATCATTTATATATATATATTTTTAATCTTAAACCAAAGTTTATTTTTATAAGATATTTTTTTTTAAAAAGAAAAATTTACATTCTTACCGCGCTACAAGTTTTGCAAGATTAATATGTGAATTACCTGTAAATATCTTTATGGAATTCGTTGACATTGGTAAATGTGTGCTAGGGTGTATATGCTAAGAAAAGATTAGTTAAAAGCACCAAAACTGCAAATTACATAAACAAAAAAAAACAATAATAATAATGTTTTTAGTTTTTGCCAAGAGGAAGATTGTCAAAGTTTTAAATTATAACAAGATTTTAATAGGTTGCAGCGAGTTCGTGTAATCATCACATTACACAAGCATCAGCGTAATTTTTTAAAATTTAATACATCACGATTTAATTACATTCAATTTTTTACAAAGAATTTTTTTTTTACAGTGTTGTTAGTTTTTGTAACCCATCAATGCTCACAGCCTCCAATCTTTTATACTCTTCCAAAGCCGCCCTGGAAATTTTTAATTGAGAATAATCAAAATCAAGGATTTGCAGTTTTTCCAATGAGGGAGCTCGACTCATTGCAACATACACTTGCCCTTCAGCAAACATACTTTCGTCAACATTCAATGTTACATGTGGCAAGGTCAATCCTTGAGTTTTATGAACAGTCAGAGCAAATGCATTCTGAAGAGGAAATTGATTCCTTGATGCTCTCTTGCCATAAACTTCAAAGTAAAATGTTTCTCTTTGGACAATAACCTTGCTTATGCTGGCCAAGGTAGGAAAGGTCACCTCAACATTCTCTTCATCATAAATTTTTGTCACTATTCCAATAGTTCCATTGCATATTTTTTCATCAAATAGCTTATTATTAAGAAACATCACATGTGCACCTTCTTGTAAATACAATTTATGAGGCAAGTTTGTTAAATTTTTGAATTGAGCAATTGAGTGATCATCATTTGATATTTCAAATTCCAGTGTGTCTATGCATTCAGAAACCATTGGATCATTGCATGTTTTATCAAAAGGGAGGTGACTAAAGAATATTGTGTTGAGGGATTGAGCTTGCTTTTTGAGTGCTGACCACATGCGTGGTATCATAAAAACTACAAAGGTCAGTTTCTTGGTTAATTTTTGTTTGGATTATTTGCTTGCTTCTAATTGACAAAGTTCCTGTTCTTATCTCTTGGAGGATCATGTAAAATTCGACATCATTTATCTGCCTTTGTGGTGTAGTTAAGAACAGCAGGAGAATTTTTTTCCAAATTGGTGACCTAAATACTTGAGAAGGACGAAATGGAGGGAGTTGAGCTAGATCTCCTACGACAAGTGTTGGCATTCCTCCAAAGATAAGATTGTTTTATAAATTTTAGCAAAGATGTTGCTAACAAAAGTGAACAGGTCACCATTGGTTTAGAGTCATCTATACATATATATAATCAAGAAGAGTTGACCAAAAAAAAATTTTTCAATTCAAGATATATTAATAATAGGGGAAAACTGCACGTACATATTCGACTCCCCTTCCGTAACGTATCTCCTAACCAGGACGACAATTGAATGCTTGGAAAAATTCAACACATTGTTCGCCTCGTCACAATATCCTTTGAAGCTAATTTCTCTAAAAACGTTGTCATTTCTATAAAGAACAGTTTCGCTGATCGTTCCCTCGGTAGAAGTTACGTGTTTAATGAAACAATTGGTAACAAAAATAGAACACATGTTATTTTATTATTATTATTTTTTTTTTAATTAATTATTAATTATTATTTGTTTTGTTTATTTTTATTTTTTTACGATTTACGATTTATACTTTACCGCTATTTTTTATATTTCAAAAAGGGCATGGTTGTTAAATAATGAAATCACATTTTCGAATTGTTGCATTTTAATTCCGAATCGTTACATTTTTCTTCTTTAAATAAGCAACAGGAGAACCTTTTTTGAAAAAAGCTTCGTCAATTCTTTCAACAATAACATTTTTTTCACATTTTCAAAAAAAGGCGCGGTTCGATGTTTTTAATTAAATTAAAAAGTTATTCATTCCGAATCGTTACGTTTTTTTCTTCACATTTTTAAAAAAGGCATGTCGTTTTTAATATTAGAAAAATAATAATAAAATTAATTCCCGAATCGTTACGTTTTTTTTCTTCACGTTCTAAAAAAAGGCATGGTCGTTTTTAATATCAGAAATAATATTTTAATAAAACAATTTCCCAAATTGTTACATTCTTCTTCATTTTCTAAAGAGCAAGAATCTTTTCAAAAAAAAAATTTGATTAATTTCCTTTAAATTAATAAAAATTTTTTTTTTAAATAATAAATATTAATACCAAATCAATAATAGATTAATTTCTTTAGTGGATCTTTTTCAATTAATTTTCTTTAACAATAATGGATTAATTCCAAATTTTTAGTGACGGAAAAATATTTCTTCTCATTTTTTGGAAAAGGCTCGATTTTAATCAAATGATTTCATTTTCATTTTTTTTTTACTTATAAATAACTAAAAAAAATTTGAGAATGATCATGATCAATGATCAAAAGATTTATACAACGCGAAGCATAATGGACATCCTATTTATCACAAAGTGACAAAATTGAACGTCGATCTTTTTTATATTGTGAAACAGAAATTT